TTTGCACCTTTTCTTCTTATTTCACATTATCTATTATGCCTTTTAGTCCTTATTTACTCTATCAGTTTCTCACACTAGAGAAACTATTCAGTATTTACACATATGCATCCTATTTATTTCACTTAAGAGTATCACCTCAATGTGCATCCATTTAGGTATAAATGTCTCTAGTTTCTCATTTTTTATGGCTGAGTAGTACTCCATTTTATTTTTTTTTTAAACACGTTTTCTTTATCCAGTCTCCTGTGGATGGGCAATTGGGCTGCTTCCAAGTTGAGCTGTTGCAAATTGTGCTGCTATGAACATGGGTGCACATATATCGCCGTAGTATGATTCTTTTAATTCTTTTGGGGAAGATACCCAGCAGGGGGATAGCAAAGTCAAATGGGACCTCCAAAAAAAATGGGACCTCCAATCCTAGTTCTTTGAGGTATCTGCATATTGATTTCCATAATGGTTGCACCGGTCTAAACTCCCACCAGCAGTGGAGCAGGGCTCCTCTTTCCCCCACAGCCTTGCCAGCATTTGTCGTTGGTTGATTTCAGGATAGCAGCCATTCTTTCAGGGATGAGGTGGAATCTCAGCATTGCTTTAATTTGCATTTCTCAAATAACCAGTGATGTTAAACATTTTTTCATATGTTTATTTGCTCTTTCTACTTCTTTGAGAAATGTCTGTTCATTTCAGATGCCCATTTTTGGACTGGGTCTTCAAATTTGGGAGGTTTGATTTTGTGTGTGTGTGTGTGTTTTGTTTTTTAATTATTTGTATATTCTATTTGGACTGGCTTCAAATTTGGGAGGTTTGATTTTGTGTGTGTGTGTGTGTTTTGTTTTTTAATTATTTGTATATTCTAAATAGTAGACCTTTGTCTGAGGAAGAGATGGTGAAAATTTTTTCCCACATTGTGGGTTGTCTCTTCACATTATTGGTTGTTTCTCTTGCTGTGCAGAAGCTTTTTAATATGAAGAGATCCCACTTGTTGATTGTTTGTGCTATTTCATGAGCAACTGAGGTTTTGTTCATAAAATCTTTTCCTACACCAATGTCTTGAAGAGTTCTAGCTAACCTCTCTTCCAGCCAGTTTTGTATTTCTGTTTTAATATTTAGATCTTTAATCCATTTTAGTTTAGTGCATGGTGAAAGGTATAGGTCTAGTTTTAATCTTTGGCAACTTGAAACCCAGTTTTTCCAGCACCCTTTATTAAAGAGGCTATCTTTCCTCCAGTGAGGGTGTTTGGCTCCTTTGTGGAAGATGAGGTGTCTGTGTCTGGAGTTGTTTCTGCATCTTCTAATCTGTCCCACTGGTCCTCAGGTCTGTTTCTTTGCCAGTATCATGTTGTTTCTATCACAGTAGCATTATAGCATAGTTTCAAGTCAGGGGTTGTGATACCTCCTACCTTGTCTTTGTTGCCTAGAATTGCTTTTGCTGTTCTAGGTCCCTTCTTGTTCCAAATGAATTTTTGGATGGCTTTCTCAAGATCTGTGAAGTATATTCCCAGCCCTTTTTATTTTTTACTTTGACACCGGGTCTTGCTAAGTCATTAAGTTGCCCAGGACAGGCTCAAACGTGTGATCTTCCTGCCTCAGCCTCCCAAAGCACAGGGATTACAGGTATGTGTCACCATATTCTGCTATAGAGGAGGATTTTAACATAAAAATCTACCTACACGCTGGCCAGAGAAGTCAATGAATTCCCCCTTCAGATATCATATTTAAACATCCCACACCAGGCCTCAATGTGTATAAGTAGTCACACCCCTTCCTATTATTCGTGTGGTTTTATGTTTTACACACAAAATATTAATCTACTTGGAATTTACTTCAGTGTAAGTATAAAGCACGCACCTAATTTTTCTGTCTTGCCAATTTGCAGCCAAGACAGAAACAAGACCTGTAGCACTGTGCATGTTTTTGTCCTTATTTGCATTATATGTTTATGTACTTCTGTGTATTTACTTACAGTTCTGTGTTCTTCTTTCTGTTTCCCCTATTATTTTATACAAGGAATTCTGTTGTTTTTACATTGCTAGCAGTTATTTTACAATTCTAACTTTAAATTACAGGTTGAAACTGTGGGTGAGCCTGTAACTGGACTAGGAGAGAATTAACAACATTCAACAGCAGACGCAGAGACTAAGGAAACTTCATGAAAAAGGGCAAGTCACTTCTCTAGGGAATACCTGCAGCATCATAAGGGAAAGTGTATGGTTTAGATCTAGAATGTCCTGCAGGCACGTCATGTGTTTAGAGGCGGGGCTTTCAGAAGGTGATTGAATCATTGTGAGTTCTATACTCATCAGTGGATCCATGCATTTATGAGTTCATAGCTGAATGTGTTGTTAAGAGGCGTGGCTTGGTTGAGGGGGCAGGTTACTGAGGGAATGACCTGAAAGGATGTATTCTAGTCCCTGACTTTTCCTTTTGTTCTCTTTCTGCTTCTTGGCTGCCATGGGGTGAGCAGCTGCCTTCTACCAGGCCCTTCCACCATGATGCTTCTGCTTTGGAGCCAGTTAACTATGAACTGAACCCACTGAAACTGTGAGGCAGATAAGCCTCTGTTTTTTTTAAACTGTGTCAGGTATTATGGCTCAGAGACTGAAAATAACTAACACAGAAAGCACAATGCTGTGTTATTACCACGTGGAGGAAAGGGTGAGAATGGATGCTGAGAAACCATGGTGATAGACTTTGCTGGTCATTATCTGCTTTTGGCTCTCAGCTCACTTTCCTTCTTTTGGATTGGTTCTGTGTTAAAGAAGTCTGAGACCTTGCACATACTTCTTCATATACTTTCCAGACTTCTTCAGCAATGATATGTCTTTGTCACTCACTGTGCAGGGGTCATAGCTGGTGGCCAGTCAGTTGTTGTGGCTGCAGCAGCAGTAGCAGTGGCTAAGGGCTATAAGTTTCTAGGTGCCTGTGACCTGGGAACTGGACATACAACATGAAGGCATGAATTCAAACTCTGGCAGCAGGAAATAACTCCACAAAGATATCTGTGTCCTAATCCCAAAGCTTTTGAAGATGTTACTTTTCCTAGTTTAAAAAAAAAAAAAACTACTTTGCAGATTCAACCAAAGATCCTGAGATAGGGGGATAATCTTGGATCATCCTCATGGGTTCAATGTAATCACAGGGTCCTTATTAGAAGGAGGCAGGAGATTTAGAGTCAGTGGTGGATTTCAGATGTTGTGTGATTTTGTTCAACGCCATCACCAATCCCACAGCGCAGACGTCCACAAAAATTGTTGGGAGCTTTTATTCTAGTCCAAGGTGTAATGCTAAGAATTAAGAACAACTAGCTACATCTGGCAATATTCAGGGACAATTTCTTCCCTGAGGACCTACTAAGGTCACCTGTAGGCTACACAGAGAATTTCTTTGTGTGACCTGAAGAAAGAGTTCATTCTGGGAAAGAGAAGGAATTGTGACTGAGCTCCCATACTGTACAGAAAGGTCACCACTCAGCTTACAGGCAACAATAGCCTGAAGAGTGGTTGTCTGCCTCAGTGACTGCCTGTGCTCAATAGATGAGCAGCTCACCAAAGCCCCATCTAAACCCAGGTAACAACTGAATTTATTCCAACCATTGGCTGCCTGGTCCCCATGGACATTTAGAGGTTGAGATGGGGAGGACTGGCAAACTTAAACAGAGATTAACATTCAGTAGAATAAAAGCTCTAAGAAATTCTTAGGATGTGAAGAATCTGGAGGAAGCAGAGAGGGCTGTGAGGAGTGGGGATGAGGGAGTAAGCATTCGAAAGGTGGCTGAGAATATATTCCCTATAGTGGAGATGGCTGAAATTTTTGTAGATGTTGAAAATTCACCTTGAGGTTGAATCCTGTTTTGTGCCATAATAATCTTCCTCATTTATTCATAAAGCAAGGATTAAAATCTAGTGTACACAACAAACACATTAATGGATCCTTTTGTAAACTGAAGAAGAGGCTGTTTCAAGCCAGTGGACACAAAGAAAACAGCAGAAGGCAACAGGAGAAGCACGTTCATCACACTCAACTTCTCAGGTTTTGAACAATGTGTAAACTCACAGAAATATATACTTATATGTGAAAACACATAGGAAAAGGATAAATTTAAACCACTGTAGTTATGCTACAGGGAAGGAATTACAGGTGATTATGTGCCTTCGTTTTGCAAATCTCCTTCAATGGTACTGTAATTGGATTTTATTTTTGTAGTATTTTTTATAAAGTTATCTCCCCAAGCAGTGGTAGTCATGCAACAAAGCTATTCAGTTTAATCTCTCCCACAAACTTCTCTGCGGTCACCCATGCACAAGGTAGAGCCTTACTCCTGCTTTAGCCTGAGAGGTAAAAAGGAAGTCCATGATTGCTGTAGATTGGGAAAGCACCTTGAAGGCAAAAGGGTCTGTGATGAATCTGAAAACTCCTTTTTAAATTGCTCTGAAAGCATATGCCACAGAGCAAAGCACAGAACCTTATAACTAGCTTGTTTGTGGAAAGATGTCCTTTGTCTACAAGCCAAGTATTTGAAAATACCACCCACTCAATTGGCATCTCTCTGCAGGGCCCTGGGAGAAGCTCCCCAGGGCAGGTTTAAGAAACCAGCCACCCATGGTTTCACTTTGATCTTTGTCTGTCTACACCCTTGCTTCACCTCCTCTGCCACAGACATATAATTCTAAGTATTATTGCTTGGTAATAACCATAATTACCAAATGGACTGCCCACGACGGAAAAGAGGAGAAATCGAATTCTCAAATGAATTTGTATCTGAGCTGGAGAATCTGTTCGTATCAGGAAAAGCCTGAACTCCCCTCCTCTTCGGTCCCTGAATTAACTGGCCAAAGACGGCTTCTTCACTGGTGAAGGAATGACACCCACCCTCAGGAAAAAGCTAAATCCAGAGATTCGATAACTGAGATGCAAAGTCCTCCCGTGCTCCTAGAGAGTACCCGGAAGCGCAGCGCGGTCCCGGAAGGCGAGGTGCTGACATACTTCCGGCCTTTGTGAGTCATTGTGTCTGTGTGGAGGCGTCGGGAGGGTCTAGGTCCGTTCGCGGTGCCCTTCGGCCAGCCTGAGCCCTAGAGTCAGCTCCCTTTTCTCTCCCAGCACCCCCAGGCCGCTCCCGGGGCTCACGGTGAGACTTGGGGCTGACCCCAGGGGAGGGCGGGCGGGCCGGCCGCACGGGTGTGTGTGAGGGGTGGGCTCTGCAGCTGCGGCCCCGGGATCCCGCTGCAGGTGGCCTCGGCGGAGTGCGAAGAAAGTCCCTGCCTTTGCCTGCTCCCAAGGCCTGGCAGTAACGTCTCCCGGGGAGAACCCTCCTCACGCCTATCCCCGGGTCCAGGCGAGGAGGCGGCGAGGTTCTCAATGGGCCCCTGGTGCTCGAAGACCTGGGAGAAACCGTTTGCTGCCCCTTCCGGCTTCATCACCTGCAGTGTTGTCATTGTCATTTGACGTTGCTGAGAATGGGGTCGCTAGCGAACTGACCCTTGTCTCTGCTTTTTCTGCTCTCCCGTCGTCGCCATTTGCTTTGATTCCGGTGAGAGGTGTTTTTTATCCGCTCCCCGCTCTCCGGGTCCTTGATAAGCTCGAGGTTAATGCGGAAGGCGAGAGAGATGGACACGTTTTGGGGTGTCAAATCCCATGGTTTCAGATCACTAGCTTTTTCTCCCTTCAACATTGATCTATGATTAGAGAGAATTTAAAGCCTTGGTCATAGACCCTAAAGATCTGGTAGACACTCCTCTCTTTTTGCTTATAGAATGTTTTGAAAGCTTTTAAAAATAAGCCGTCCCGCCGAGGATTTAGCTCAGCGGTTCGGTGGCCTGCCTTGAAAGCGCAAGGAACCAAGTTCAGTCCCCGGTACCAAAAAAAAAAAAAAAAAAAAGCCGTCCAGGAAATTAGGTGGATTTTTTTTCAGTCCACCCTGCTTGTCTTGGAGTGGGGTAAAACGGAACGGAGCTGGTAGAAATTGCCCTGGGCCATTAAGAGACAGATTAACAAAGTAACCTCGGATAAAACAAGACAGTAGCTCTTAATTTTGTCATCTATAAAAGTAACATTTTCTCAAAAGGCCCTTTCAACTTGGAAATGTTTTGATTTGGTCAACATAATTGAAAAAATTCAGCTACAGTTGAGCCTGACACTACCCTCTCCCTTTCCTGCAGTGCCTCCAGTACACAAAAAGATACTTTCATTGTAGAGAGTGGCTGTTACATGGCCTGGGACCAAAGAAAGCATTTATTGTACGGGCCAGGGCTAGGCAGATTGAAGGCGGTCAATAAATACTTGTTGAATTGTGGAAAATTTATTGTAACCACATCAACAAAGCACTGTTACTATATATGCAGGCTAAATGTGGAGAAATAATCTTATTAGATGAGATTCCATAAGGTTTGTCCTAGAATGTTTCTCCAGATTTGTATCCTCCCTAAATTACTAGGCAAATAAAAATTCTTATTATTTCAGGTGATTTTTTTTTTTTTTTTTTACCAATCTTAAAATATGAACAGGGCAGCCAACTACTTAATACCATTACCTTTTGCTGATTTTCTACTTGATTGAACCATTTACATTTTTTCAGTGTGTTAATATTGTATCTGAATACAAATAGATTAATAATGGGAAATCATAACCTGTGGTAGTAATCGTTCTGTGGTAGTAATAGTCTTTGGGTAGCTTTACTTTAAGTATAGTTTTTTCATATTTTTTAAACGTGGAGGTGGAGCAGCAATTTATTTAAACTATCAAGAAAATGACTTGAAAAAGATAGAAGGCCATCATGAAAATCTTTGCAGTAAACAGAGCTTGTAACCTCAAAAAAAAAAAAAAAAAAAGTTTTTTTCATCGTTGGTGTGAACTGTTTGCTGCTAAAGTGGATGGTATGTTAAAATGTTTTTCATTTTAGATCCCAAAAGTAGTTTTTTATTTGTGTTTTTCCATTCTTGGTCTTCCTTTATTTGATAAAAGATCCTAAATGACAGACAAGTTAAATAATTCACCCAAGAATGTGTAACTTATTTGTGGGAGACTGCAATTCACTGTTCCAGCCTATGCTACCTTCACCGTTACAGGACTTCTCCCACTGTTAATCTTTGATGTGGACTGAAATATATTAGATGGCTGTTTTATTTTAAAAATTGAAACTTTTCCAGTGCCTTCTAGATGGCACACTGTTTCAAGTGATATATATGTTAACTCATTTAATCCTTACAACAACTCTGTGGGAAAATACTGTTATTTTATTTCCTTTATACAAGTGAGAAAACTGATGGCATAGAGAAGTTAACTTGCCTAAGGTCACCAACTAATAAGTAGTGGAACACTTTTAATGCTAAAGGAAACTATTGCAAGTATCCCTTAGAACAAATTTGAGGGAAAGATGGAATGCAAAATAAATGGGAAAAAAAGAGTAGCATCATACATTTAGTCAAGTACTTTTTTAAAGTGACCTAAGCATACTGATGCATGCCCTTAACAATAGTCTAGTTGAGGAAGAAGGCAAGAAAAATTACAGAGAAAGAAGCAGCTTAAGAAATTACATGGCAAATGTTTGGTACATTAGGGCCTTTTGAGACAAAAGAAAAGATTGTATATCAGATCATCTAGGAACTCTAAAATAAAACCCAGCCTTTCTACTGTTGTTGAGACTTTGGCCCAGAGTTTGACCAGGGAAAATACTGAGGGCAGGGAAGAGGACCTGTCCCACTTAGGGACAGAAGGAATGTGTACATACCCTTGTCTGTATTCCTTTGGTCTCATTTTCTTCCTCAGAATCTCTTTGTGTGGATGTACACTAACCCAAGGAGTGTCTTGTCTCATAGTGTAGAATATAAAACTTGCACAAAAGCAGAGATTTCTGATTGCTGGGCTGACCATGGCCACCACTCTAGTTCTGCTCAGTTACACTGTTTAAAGGTCCCACCTGGTTCGGTTGTAAACAATTTCCATTGGGTCTCTTTCTGTGACTCCCTTTTCTAAGAAGGGCGTTAGTCACAATGCCATGGATGAAAATGGTGGGTGGTAGATGAGGTCCATTCTTCAGTGATCATGCTCATTCCCTTTTATTTTGGAAAGAATTGTGCCCAGAATCCCTTCTTTACCGCTTACGTGTAACAGTGTAAGAGCTTATTCTGAGGAGTCACAGACTGAACTTCAAATCCTGATAACCATTTACTTGCTCTGTACCTCACGTAAATTATTTAATGTTATTAAACGTCAATTTTATCATTATAAAGTGAGATGGTAATTGTAGCTACTGCCTAAGATTGTTGTATGGTCAAGTGAAGACGCCTAAAAAATGTTGGCTCTGTTATAACTACTATAGTGTTCTTGAACATTGATTTGAGGGAAGTATCTTTAGCTTAGCTTTGAAGGATAAGTAGGATGTGAAAAGACATAGGACTGAGAAGAAATCTTAGGCATTGAGTATGATTTGAGGAAAGGATGACTATCAAAAATACAAGGCATAGGGCCAGGGATTTGGCTCAGTGGTTCTACCGCCTGCCTGCCTTGCAAGCGCAAGGACCCAAGTTCGATCCCTGGTACCAAAAAATAAAAATTTTTTTAAAAAAATACAAGGCATCTTCAGGAGATTCTGATTAGACTCATATTTTTGCTTGATAGGGGTTCTTGGAGTGAGAAGATGAATGGGAAAGGAAGGTTGAGGGAAATTGGAAAATGGATACTGGAACATACTTTGAGGCTGTAGAGTTTTAAGGAAAGTAAGGTAACAGATGAATTGTAGGAAGGCAGGGAGCAAATGATGGCCAGGAACCAAAGAGGAAGCTGGACTTGATGAGATTAGACCAAATAATAGTAAGAACAAAGAATTATTTTTCCCTGGTGCTTGGAGACCAAATACATGTAAGAAGGAAGGCATCCAAGAAGGTAAGGTGTTCAACCTGAGCAATTAAATTAGTGAACTACCTGTAGTGTGTAATTATTGCCACGCTATAGGCAGTAAGGGGGTAGGGGATTTCCATCTGCATACTATTGGTTAAATAGCCAAGTTCTTGGGCCAGGGATTTTTAGCTCAGTGGCACTGTGCTGTTTCACAAGCACACAGTCCAGAGTTCAATCCTGGGTACCAAAAAAATAAATAAAAATAAATAGCCAAGTTCTCTAGGTGATAAGTACAAAGAAACATGAGTACTTGTCCTTGGGAGGTACTAAAAAAACCGGAACTACAACCCAAATACTGAGAATATAAGTGCCATAAAATAGAAACAAAGTACTAAGGAGTGTTCAAAGGAGAAGAATACCTTATTTAAGTTGGGATTTCAGGAGAGAATCAGGCGTCTTGAAGGGTGAGTAAAAACTGTAACCAATAGAATTGATACTATGGGAGATGCTTCCCACAAAGGAGTAAAGGTAAAAAAGGTCATGCATGGCCCATGTTTGGGAAAACTAATGGGCTCAGTAGACTGAAATATGGTGGGGTTAAGTGAAGAAGTATGCTGTGAAGGTGAAATCTCTTGAACATCGAATTGGTAGAAACCAAGCATTCATTTACAGTAACTGAGGCGAAGGAGGGAATGGCCACAAGCAAATAGGCAACACTACGCTGACCTTGGTATGTTTTGGTATTATAATTGAGAAATTGGAGCTAGAGAAGCTGCATGGGGCTCTGGCCCTAATCCCGGTAAGAAGTGAAGAACCTGAATTAAGGTGGTAGAAAGTAGTTGAGAGGTAGAGCAAAAAAAAAAAGAAAAAAAAGAAAAGTTTCTGAATTTCAGAATGAATTGAGGAAGAAGCTAACTGAAGGTGTGATCTTGTGCCACTCCAGTTCCTGCCTGGTCCTGGGAGGACCTATGTGTCCTGAGTGTTCCAGGTCCCTTCTTGTTCACTCATCAGCAACTTCTCAGGGTTCTCTAGCACTTGTGTTGAAACCTCCTTGGAATATTCTGCTTTCTACTATAATTATTTGCATAAAAGTCGAGCTCATGTTTATCACCATTCTATTGGGCTTACAGAACACCTTGCAGACTGGAGATACACAGAAAATGTTTAGGACATGGAATAATTGTAGTTATGAGGGCTTTAGAGGTAAAAGTGATTTGAAGTTGAAACCAGCCATATTTACCCCAGCAAGGAAGGTGGGATACAAAACAAGTCTGAAAGAATCTATGGGAAGGGCTAGCTTTTTAGTTTTTTTTAATACATGTTTGTATTACATAATGATTCATTCATTGTGGGGAGTTGGTACATGTACATAACACATTTTAATTCTTTTTATGTCCCCTTCCCTTCCCTCCCTCTCTTCCTATATCTCTTGGTCCCCTTCCCATTTATGAAAGATCGATCTCTCTCTTCTATTATCTTTTTGTGCTTTAATTTACTTATAGTTTGGGTTTCTCATATAGGATAAAGCATGCAATATTTTAGCTATTGTGTCTGACTTATTTCACTTAACATTATAGTCTCAATGTGCATCCATTTTCTTACACAAAGGTAATTTGCAATAGAACATTTACCACTTTGCAATCGGTGGAAGAATTACTTAATTCCAAGGTATGAGGAAAGCTCTTTTTTATTGGAGTGTTCATTATTTTTATTAGACCATTATTTTTAGTAAGAATTTCTGTTTTTCACTAAGGATGCAAAAATGAGGTAGAAACAGTAATCCTGTAATGAATTTCAGATTAAAATATTAATAACCTTTGTGAATAAAACCATACATATAGTAACCCCCACCCCTTATTCTCAGGGGATCTGTTTCAGGACATTCCAGAGATGCCTGAAACCACAGACAGAACTATCTCCTATATTTTTTTTCTTTATTGCATCTACTTAATCGATGATAAAGTTCAAACTACAAATTAGGCACAATAAGAGACTAATAATAATTAAAAATAAAATAGAGCAGCAGTTACAACGTACTGTAATCAGAGTTAGTTAGAACTTAATGAAGAACTGGGTTTGGTGGTACATGCCTGTAATCCCAGCACTCAGATATCTAAGACAGGAGGATTGTGTTTGAAGCCACACTGGCTACATATTGAATTCAAGGCCAGCCTGGACTACATAACAAGATCCTATCTCAAAAAAACAAACAGCTTAATGAATTATTTCTGGAATTTTCCATTTAGCATTTTCAGACCACAGTTGTATCCCAAATCACAGAAAATGAAAGCAGCAGATAGTTCTACTGCCTAGCCTATCAATATAAAACTTTTTAATATTTTTTATATTAAAACAAAATATATAGTATTAAATTGTACGATTAAATTTCTGTAAAATATTTTTGTGTTATGTAATGTACATGATCCCTTTTCCATCAAAATTACTGATTTTTATTTTTTATTTTTTTGAAAGCCATGTAATTCAGAATACTTCACTAGAGGATAAGGGATATCACTCAGTGGCAGAGCTCTTGCCTGACGTGTACAAGGCCCTGGGTTTGATCCCCAGCACCGCAAAAAATATAAAAATGATTTGCTAATTTAAAACTTACAATTCACTGTGATCCAGGAATTGGGTGGTTCGTTCTAAAACATCAACTCAATGCTTAGTTGTAATAGTTGTAAAGGTAAAAAGGGTGCTTCACAAAAATTTTAAAATTCAAATGGTATAACCGTGTTGTTACTTCAGTTCATTAACCAATGAACCACTTTCCATGTTCCATATTTGTGGCTGAAATTCAGAGTACGTTTTTATTTTTCATGAACTTATATTACTAGCTCTTACAAACTAATGAGACAGTTACTTTCTTTTTTAAACAGGCTTAAGTTCTAAAATTCTTCATTTGGAAGGATTTTAAATGTTAGAAAGTAGTTGCAGCCAGGCATGGTGGTGCAAGACTATACTCCCAACACTTAGAAGGTTGAGGCAGGAGGGTTGCCATGAGTTCGAGGCCAGCCTGGTCTACGTAGTGAATTCAAGGCCAGCCAGAGACTACATAGTGAGACCCTGTCTCTAAACAAAAAGCACAGAGAGTAGTTGCAGGTTTTTAAAGAATATAGATATAAGGATTTTTCCAAGGGACATGGTATTTTTGGCAGTTAGGATTACATAACAGTTGAAATACTTCTTATATCAATTGTAATTGTTCTTTCCTCTTCAGTTTTTCGTTTTGTTTTGTTTTTTAGCCAGCTGCTTTCTCACTCATTGGTGGCTTTGTAGAGGGACATTGGTTCTTACCTCCTAACCTGGCTAAGAACTTGTTTTCAGTAGAAGCTCCACCACTGCCTTTTCGCTGGTGTCCACTTGGGTTTACATCATCAGTATTTCTTCTAATTGTCTCTGCAAGAATCTTTAAAGCTGCTGGCCTCTTTTAAGAAGGTGAGTTTAGGCAAAGCTAGATAGAATAACCCACCATTTCCCATAACTGGGCACAGCTAAGCCAGGGTACACATCTCAGAATCTGGAAGTGAACATGGGGGTGGTGGGTGCTTGTGTGCTTTCCTCGGAGAATACCATACATTGACAGTTGAGCACATAGACCCGGTGAGGGTGTTAAGTATCAATTTGTAGGTTAAATATGGCTTGATTTCTCTCACTTTTAAAACACAGACATTCAGATATATTCTTCCATTATTCCTGGAGGGTCATCTGGGACTTTGAAAAGCGCCTCTTTAGATTGCCCATGGCACCTATAAAAATAAGAAAACTGGATAAAAGATACATTAGCATGTCCTGGGCTTCAAATTTGGCTTCAGTGTTGACTTCTTAGTCATCTGCTACTGAATGAATTGCTTAAGCTATCCACAGCTCCATTACATCATCTCTAAAAGTGATACTAGCGGAGTTCTGCCTACCTGCTATGGTTATTGTAGGCACAGAAGAAGATTGTGTACATACTGTACTTAGCGTGCTACTTGACACCCTGCAAATATTCAAGGTCTCACTGGGCAGAGCACTGTAAGTACTGTGCCCCATCTTCTAACCTGCTATCCACCTGGAGGCAAGTTGCTCTAACTCCAGGCAAACATCCTGAGGATGGAGGTTTCCTGTTGGCGGTTTCTGTATACAGACCTTCATACATGAAGTGCCAAGGAAGACACTAGAGCTCTGATTGTTTTTATTCTGAGGTGCTCTTAGTGTCTTAATTTATAGCACTAGCGGCACCAGTCACTTTTTGTAAAGGTACTAATAGCTTGTTTTAATATTTCAGGAATAGTAGAGAAGCAGGTGTAAAACCTCTAGCCAGAAAGGCCAGCACAGACTCCATTTGGATCACGCCCATTCCCTGAGCCTGAAAGATGACTGCTGAGTCAAGGGAAGCCACAGGCCTGTCCCCCCAGGCTGCACAGGAGAAGGACGGCATCGTAATAGTGAAGGTAGAAGAGGAGGATGAGGAAGACCACATGTGGGGGCAGGATTCCAGCCTGCAGGAGACGCCGCCTCCTGACCCAGAGATATTCCGCCAGCGTTTCAGGCGCTTCTGTTACCAGAACACTTTTGGGCCTCGAGAGGCACTGAGTCGACTAAAGGAACTTTGTCATCAGTGGCTAAGACCAGAAATAAACACCAAGGAGCAGATCCTGGAGCTGCTGGTGCTGGAGCAGTTCCTTTCCATTCTGCCCAAGGAGCTCCAAGTCTGGCTACAGGAGTACCGGCCCGATAGCGGAGAGGAGGCTGTGACCCTCCTGGAAGACTTGGAGCTTGATCTGTCAGGACAGCAGGTAAAAAGAGGTGCAGTTTGCATGTGAGAAAGTACAGACTTTGGGGATAGGAGAAAATCACTGATTTAGAGCTAGTATTAGGAATCCTTGTGGTTTTTCTGCTTGTTGTTGGGGGGGAGGGATTGTAGTCAGTATGGTGTGGACTTAGCATTTACAAGGTTCAATCCCCAGAACCCCCCACCCCAAGAAAGTGTTCTGACCTCCTCCATCCACTGGCAAATCTTTTAATATTTTAATTCCTGTTTTAAAAATGATTTATCTACAAGCCCAGCCTGATTGTCCTCAGGTCCCAGGTCAAGTTCATGGGCCTGAGATGCTCGCCAGGGGGATGGTACCTCTGGATCCAGTTCAGGAGTCTTCAAGCTTTGACCTCCATCACGAGGCCACCCAGTCACATTTCAAGCGTTCATCTCGGAAACCCCGCCTCTTGCAGTCCCGAGGTAAGCAGGTTATGTGGGGAAAAGAAGTGAATTATTGCGGATGGGAATGTTGTCCCCATGTTGCTCAGTGCCTGAAATAAAAAAGCATGCTTGTTTTTGTTATTATGCACAACGGTCATTACTGTTAATATTAGGTGAATATAACAGCCCAAACTCAGGAGTTAAATGGTAATACAATACTAAGGAGGTGAGTGAACTGTGACTAATGAACTTGGTAGACATTGTTTATTGAGCTGTTAGTGTTTCAGATGTTTAGTAGATTTCTGACAGGAGGGTGTGGGGAGCAGAGGATATGTGACTTCCAGCCCGAGTTTTGAAACACTGTAATATGACAAAGTTATCTTTAAAAGGACTTTATATCTTTAAAGATTTCCATTTTATTTAAGATGTATAAAAATACTATTTAGTATTGCTCTTTTCTAGGTTACTGTCAGAAATTTTTAATGAAAAGAAATGCAAAATAGTTTTGGTGAGGGGGCTTTTTTGTTGAGGAAATGAGAAAAATATCAGTTCAGGGCATATAAATAATCTATTTCATCGGTTTGGGGAAATACATATTTTTGTGGAAGTGGGTATGTAGAATGTCATTAAAAACCATAAAGCGCTGAAAATACGGTTGTTCAGCCAGGTGTGGTGGCTCGGGCCTGTAATCTCAGCACTTGGGAGGCTGAAGCCAGAGAATTGCTACAAATTCAAGGCCAGTCTGGACCACATAGGGAGACCCTTTCTAAAAAAAAAAGAAAAAGAAAATACAGTTGTTCAAAAAGAGTTGATCAAGGCAAGGTTCCTTTACCAGCAGATGTATTTGCAGTAACATTTAAGTTAGGAATATTAAATCATAGCACTTAAGGGAGCGTTGTCTCCTGTGCATCCTGGAGGACAACCTAGAGATGCACGCTGGAGACATCCATGCCACCCCACATACTGTGACAGGACAGTGCTGGAACAACACAATTGGTGTCCTTTCAGGGCTTATGAGGTTTCTCTATGCTCCACAGTCAGAAGTCAAAGAAGATGACATTAAGAAATAGTATGTTCATGGTCTGCACACCAGAGTAATGCTTTAGTCTGCCAGAGAAAGAGTTTTAGAGATCCTGTGCTTAGAGTTTTTACTTAGTAAATCCTTTTTGAATGAATTGAGAGGCATGTACACATCTGTTCTCAATTTCTACTTTGACTTGTTCATCTTCCAGTGTTTTCTGACTCTCAGGTTTAAGGGCTAGATACTTGATCTTTTCGTGCATTTTGTTTTAGCCCATCTTTTTTTTTTTTTTTGCAGTAGCAGAGAGTCACATTTATTAAAGGTAGGGGAGAAAAAAGGTTGAGGACAAAAACAATAGACTGCACAGTGAGCTTGGGGCAAGTAAAATGGGAGGGAAAAAAATGACATCATAAAGCCATGGTGGCAAGCCTATGGCACAAAAGATGTTAATGTATGAGTTGTTTTTTCTAAACTAAAACCTCACTATTCACATTTAATTGCGGTGTTGGCATTTTGCAGTGAATAAGTGGGCTTTGGGTTATGGTTTGGGCACTTGTCTCTGAAAGGTTCACCATCACAGCTCTAAAGCATAGAGTGGGCTATGGTAAAGAGGTGTGATAGCCTAGCCCATCTTACTGTACAAGTGGAAATAGCTATAAGTTTTGTAATTGAATTTCAGATTCACTTCTCTAATAGCTTTGCACTTCTGTACCAGCATCTGTTTACTATAACACTTCCAAATCTAATAGTCCTTGACAAGCGAAGAGAAAATGAATGTTAATTTTATTTTTTCACATTAAAATTTTTCCAATTCTTCTCATGCACTGCAGCTGATGTGATCATAAGATATATTACGGATGTCTTGTATGTCAACCAATACCTCTATACATTTGTAAATGTTTCATCAACATTTCAATCATGTATACATTTTTATCAGAAAACTGTTTATTGTGGCCAAGTAAGAGGGAGAAAAGTAGAGAAACAAAAATGGCAAAAACTAGCCAGGCATGTTATCCTAGCACTCTGGGAGACTGAGGTAAGAGGATTGTAAGTTTGAGCCTAGTCTGAGCAATTTACCGAGACCTTGTCTCACAATAAAAAGGCTGGGGATGTAGCTTAGTGAAAAGGCCTTGAATTCAAGCCTTAGTAATATTCCCCCCCACCCCTGCCCCCACAAATAGAGGTAAGAAGATATCCTTCCTATCCTGACTTTTTGGATTTAACATAAAACACTAAAGCTGTGCTGTGTTTTTCACAAGTGTAATAAGCAAAGCTGGGTTCTAATATCCTTGTGCTATCCTTAAGCTAGAGAAACTTGAGCCAGAAGTATGGGCTCATGTTGCCCATTGTGTTGCTAAGACGTCTATGGGTTCTAGACCTGGCTCTGCCATTCCCAAGTGACATTAGACAAGTCCATTTAGCTTCTCAGGGCCACAAGGTCCCCTTTTATAAAGTAAAAGGGTTGGACCTCATGATTTTAAGGACCATTTTAGGGCTCCTTGTGACTCTTGCTTAAGAGTAGAGATCCTGCTGCCTCTTGTCTGTGTCCTCTGAAGCTCTCTCCCTGGTAGTTAAATATGAAACAGTGAACAAGCCGGTGCGGGAAGGAGAATACCCCAGGCCCTTTTTTGAGGGAAGCTCAGAGCAGAGCTGATTTACTCACAGCTCCTTTCTCCTTATCAGCTGTCCCTGCCACCCACGTTCCTGCCCCTCCTCATGAGGGGAGTCCCAGAGACCAGGCGATGGCATCTGCCCTACTGACTGCAGATTCCCAGGTGAGCTGTGCACCCTGTCCCCTCCTGAGTCCCAGGTCTGCCTCCTCCTGGAGCTCCTGTCGAAGCATCCACCAGGCCACTCACTCTTCATGCCCCACCTGCAGAAGCCCATTCCCTCTCCCATAGATCTTTCTACCACAGACCCCTCAGTCCACCAGGCCTGGTCACATCTTCCCCAGCATCCTGCAGCTGTGCAGGCAACGCTGTCCCTGACTCTAGGTTTGGGCAATGGGACTGTCCCTGAGTTTTAGGGGAACTGAGTGTGGGGACTCTCCTGTTATTTCAGGCAATGGTGAAGATCGAGGACATGGCCGTGTCCCTCATCCTGGAGGAATGGGGATGTCAGAACCTGGCTCGGAGGAATCTCAATAGGGACAGCAGGCAGGAGAATTATGGGAACGTGTTTTCCCAGGGTAAGATGGACACAGGATTCTTGTCTGATTATTTTGCCTCTTGGCAGTAGGCTCTCTGATGTATCCAGTTGATAAGGATTTAAAGGTTACTGAACCCCTTTCTTCAGAATAGAGAGGGAAATCATTTATGTTCACTGAACTGTGACTCCCTGATTCCTGATGAGGTTTTTTGTTGTTGTTGTTGTTGTTCTTGTTACGGGGTGTTTTGTTTTTGTTTACTTCTAGATAGAGATAGTTTTTACTCTTTGAAATCAGAAATAAATTGTTGTGCTCTGGGTGTCACCTCTTCAGTTGCTTAGTTACCTGGGAGGGTTCGGCTTCGTTCCCCATAGCATGTTTCATGTGGGTGCCTCTTTCAGGAGAAAATCTTTTTTCTAGTAGAGATGTCCAGGTGAACTGACCCATCAGTCTAATCCCAGCCTGTTGTTGTAGCACCACATTCCAAAGTCTACCAAGCATCCCTTCTGTGGGTGTCTGACTTCTTCTATCCCGTTTCAGCCCTGCTCAGAGACTACTTTGTGTGACCCCATGAACTTGCACCTGGACCTCCCTTAGGATCAGGTTCCCAGTTCACAAAACTTAACAGTGATCTTCACAAAGAGCTCTGGGTCTTGAGGGAGTAGTAAGAATAAAGAAGTACAAGAGGTATCAGCCAAGTAAGGCAAAATAACCCAGCTGGCAACAATTTGCATTGGTCTCTGTTAGATCTTAACCCTTAGAAGACAGTGCTGCCAAGAAGCCCAAAGATATGTATACAGTGACAGGGAAGTCCACAGGGACACTGTACCTGGAGAGGGCAGTGGAAGATGCACAAAGAGTGAGCATGCAAAAAGGATAATTAAGAAATTGGAGTTTGTTTGGAACCATACGTATATGGTTCACAGGAGTTGCTCTTTATGTTGCTAGATAGAGATTAAGCCAAGGAACTAGTCTTTATGAGCTGATAACAAAAAAACTAGAAACAATCTGGGAGCTGTGCAAACAGTCAAAAGCCTTGGTTTAGACATCAAAACCAGTGGACCAGTTTTCTTTCTTGTAACTGGTTCAGTATTTATGGTTATTTCATCACTGGTTGGGGTTGATATTTTTCAACCCAAGTTATTGCATTCAGGGACCTGTTACCATCATGCAGGCCCTCTTGGAAAGATTTCTTAAGGCCAAAGAAATAAAAAGCAGAGTAGAGATACTTCAGTTTTGTTTTTTTTTTCATAGACAAATATAAATAAATTGTGTATGTCAAACAATTTTCAGTCTTCACTTTAAAGTGACACACAGCATATAGCAATGTATAATAAAAATTAAAACTCCAGTATTTTAATGTATTGGTAAATGAAGGGATTAGTTCTATATTTGTAAACATTGTTCTCATATCTCCTTTGTGGGCTGTCTCCAGGGTGGTTTTGAGTTTCTTTTCTGTGAATGTTCTGAGAATTCTCTTCTTGGTTGATGGAGGGCTTCATTATGTGGCTGGTAGCTCCTTCACTCCTTCTCTGTTACTTGATCATAGTCAGCTCGGTGCTGCTGTTCCAGGTGGAGGGAAATTGTTTCCTTTGTCTGAAGGTCCCTGTAACCTACCTGGCTCTGAGCTGCTGCTTTTGCCTGTTAAAACCATCACCTTGTTGATAAAATACTAACAGAATGGAGTAGTATTTGCTTTTCTTTCTGAAAATAGCAATATTCCTGTCTAATACCACTAACATTTTCTAGCGAGGACCTGTCTGTTGTTTGTTCTCTTTTTTAAAAGCTTACAAATACTTTCTGGAAATAATAGTATGTGTCTTTTTAAAATATATACTCTTAAATTAATTATTGGGTGATCAAATAACAGAATTGTGACCTCTGACATCCCTTAAATTCCTTTCTTAATTAGACTCTTCCCTCCTCTCATTCCCCACTATGCCTGCTTACCTACATCCTCTCTCCACACAGCTTGTTATTTCCTTCTCTTTTCCACTCTGCCTGCCTTCTCACTTTCCAACTCTGTTCCCTATTTTCTCAATTTTTTTCCTTTGTTGTGCTCCTCTTTTATCTTCAGTTAATACTATGAAGTTACTTTGCAAGCATACAGAATCTCCTAGAAAATAGTGTTAACTATATTAACCCATATTTGCAGAAGGAAAAGCTGCTACTTATATTCTCTATTTATCATGTCAGGTCGTGAAAACAGGAGTGAGAACAAGGAGTCAACCTCAAAGGCTGAAGATACAGAGGACACAGGGTCCCATGGGGAGACGACAGGAAGATTCCAGAAGGATTTGGGAGAGAAACGTGAACAGCCAGGCAGAGTAGTAGAAAGGCCACAGAGAAACCCTGAAGAGAAAACTGGAAAAGAGAAGAGAGAGTCAGGGCCAGCTACAGCCAAGGAGAAAAAACCTACCACAGGAGAGAGAGCTCCAAGGGAGAAGGGCAAAGGGTTGGGAAGAAGCTTCAGTCTGAGTTCAAACTTTATTAATACCCCTGAGGAGGTTCCAACAGGAGCAAAGTCTCACAGATGTGATGAATGTGGAAAATGCTTCACAAGAAGCTCAAGCCTTATCCGCCATAAAATAATCCACACTGGAGAAAAGCCCTATGAATGTAATGAGTGTGGGAAGGCCTTTAGTCTCAACTCAAACCTTGTCCTGCATCAGCGAATCCACACAGGTGAGAAGCCTCATGAATGTAACGAGTGTGGCAAAGCCTTCAGTCACAGCTCGAATCTCATCCTGCACCAGCGCATCCACTCTGGAGAGAAGCCCTATGAATGTAACGAGTGTGGGAAGGCCTTCAGTCAGAGCTCAGACCTCACCAAGCATCAGAGAATCCACACAGGGGAGAAACCCTATGAATGTAGCGAATGTGGAAAAGCTTTCAACCGAAACTCATACCTTATTTTGCATCGGAGGATTCACACTCGAGAAAAACCTTACAAGTGCACTAAGTGTGGCAAGGCCTTCACCCGGAGCTCAACCCTCACACTGCATCACAGAATCCATGCCAGAGAGCGAGCCTCAGAATACAGTCCCACCTCCCTGGATGCATTCGGAGCATTCCTGAAAGGTTGTGTGTAAAACAAGAATTTGTCATCAAGCCATTTCCCTCTTTTGTTTCTAAAATTATTTCAGAGATGTGGGCCCATGGAGGGGAAAAAAAGGGCCTTGATAGATTTTTTTAAGTCACATTTAAGGATCCTTAGAGTTACATCAGCAATGTTCTGCCTTTGGGCATGTAATTCTTCCATGCAGCCCTGCAGGGAAAAGCTGGTCATACAAGTCATCCACATGATTTTCCACACAAGGTGAAAGCACACACACAGTAAACTATCAAGCTTTTCAGTAATGAGGATACCTTTAAGGTGCTGTTGGACTCACAGTAACCATGGCATTTAATGGGAAGATCAAAATTGCTCTGTGAACATGACCTCGAGGTTAAGCTACTTGCTGCAAATAAGCCAACATCTTGTTTATTGCTGGGACATGCTGTACCAGCTAGTTATATGTCCCATAAGTTATGTGTATCTAATCACTGGTAGCCTACCAAAGCTATAGAAATCTAGGACTATACTCATCAGTATCAAACCAAAGATTTCTATCTCTTCCTGAAAGGGTATGTGCACCAGTCTACAGTTCCAAAGGACTTCAACAAATGTAGATGGTTCTGTCATCATTGAGATCAGTTCTACTGAAATAGCAACAAGTCAAAACACTTCTCCCTTCTTGAAGTTTCTGAAGCACTCTAGCGCATCTAAAGGCATTTCTCCACAAGTTAGCACTTGATTATATACTGTCTTTTAATCTTGCATTGTTTTGTATATGAAATTTTTTATCATTCCCCCCCCCCAAAGAAAAGAGATGTTTCTGTTGTCAAGGGAAGGTAGTTTATGTTCTACAGCACAGCACTATATGTAGTGCTAAACACATAAGAGGCACTCCTTATGACTGGCTCTTAATAGGACTTTAACATTTATAGTAACCCAGCCCAGCTTTGAAATAGAACCTTCAAAGCCAGTAAGAAGAGGTATACTAAAACCCCTGGGGCTTGATGCTATTTGTATCCTAAATATAAACGGAATTGGCTAGCCACTTGCATAGATTTTTCTAAACTTGGATGAAGAATAAACACAACAGAATGTCAGAAATGACTCCATTATCATCATCTTAAGGGAGGTATGAACACTGACTAAGCTTATTTTTGGACATCTCTATGTGGCAAAGATATTAGCCAGAATTTGTTTGTCTGCTGCTAACAGTGTGATGATGTAGGTACTTCCTAAACCATCTGTAACTTAGGTTCCAGTAATACAATGCAAAAGAGATGATTTTTACTGCTTTTCAGGAAAAGGAAATTTGCAGGGAACATATTTTCCATACTTTCCAAAAACTTTGCAAAGGATTCATCATTAGCTGGTAGTTACTACAGGTAATGTTGCTTCGAGAAGTTCACCAGTGTGTTTGGTTGTATCACAGTAATTGCACAGTGTTTTTGTTTCACATTGCTCAAGACCAAGGTGAGGTTATGGAACTCTTAATCTCTCCCATCATCTGTGCAGGAGAATGCAGGTGGCCCCGCAGAAGTTGATGGTGACGACTGTTTCACACATACAGGAGACAACCAAGTGTCTCAGGCTCTGTAGATATCAAGGACTAGGGGTGGAGATGGCTGTGTTTATGAGGCGCATTCAGATTGCTGTGGTCAGCCCTGCAGAAACCTAGACGATAGTCTGAACACTGTCATTGTGACTGCCAAATAACGGAAAACCCCGAGTGAGTTTTTCTCTCAAGAAACAACTAAAACCATCATTCATCAGTTGCTCTGACCAACAGTTAAAAGTCCATGAAACATCATGGCTGAACAAGTGAGGTAGGAGCACTTGAGCCTCAGCTTCAGACCAAACTAGAATTCTACATAGCAGTCGTTCTCTGGCCTCATTCTTTGGACCAACCACAGCTTCCCCTATGGCAGTTGCTTCCTTTTTCCTCGGAAAACCATGTAGCAGGTTAGCCAGCTACCAGAATATTTCTGTCCATCCAACTTAAGAAAAATAAAAGAGAAGAGTTTACCTAATTAATGTTCTGTAGTGAAATGGAGGTAGAAATCTTTAAGAATTTTCCTCTCAAACAATGAGCCACAGTAACAGTTGCTTTGAAAATTGCTGATGCTTTTGAGAAGATCTTTGCCCGCTAAAAAAAATATGTAAAGGTGAAGTATACAATTCTGGGTACTTGTCCAAACACTGACTTTGTTCTTAAAAGGGAAAGGACTTAAGGCAGTTCCATACTGGCTTTTTTTTTTTTTAAGCCACAACTACAAGCTGTCATTTTACAGTTTGTTTTTAAATGAAATTTAAATATGACCTGCGCCCCAGCATTAGGTTCCCATTTTACTGGGACATCTAACGACTTTACCGGATAGCTGCTGGGGTTGCTTCAGATCTTCAGCAGATGCAGGTATTTGAAGATGTGTTTTCTAAGGAAAACAAGCTACAACTGGTTATTAACAGCACTTGCATTGCGTTGATGTATCCATTGCTCAGTGCAGAGTGTCATTGGGCCATGGTCCACAACACCGGCAACATCTAATTAGTGCTCAGGATAGTCATTGAAAAGTTGTGGCTGGCTTAAGTCTGTTAACAGTTTTAAGTATTCTGTAGTTTAAATCAGCATGCTAGTTGACCTAATGGAACTTTTTCAAGAGTTTTAAAAATAAACCTTAACCTTGCCAGGAGGAGAAGTAAAATTCTTCAGGCCATAAGGTACTTGTTTCTAATCCAGCCTGGCAGGCAAGGCTAAAACCTGAGAATATAGATGTATGAGATATGTTGGTGTGTATGGCACTTAATACTAAAGGCATAAAAGTGAAACTGTTACATGTGTGTAAAGATTGACATGTTTGATACGTGGAACAGTTCACATCTTATACATCAGAGAATGTATTCCAGAAAAGAACCTCTTCAATGTGATTAATATGGCAAAACCTTTAATCACGTCTCAGCCCTTAGCATCAGAAAGCTTACACTGTAAATAAAGCATATTAATATTATTACATGTGAAGAAAACTTTCATGTATAGCACTCATTGCTTTGGACAGAAGCGAATTCCCTCGGTATGTTGCAGTCATTGGTTAATTTCAGAAATACTGCAGAGGGAGCTCAGCCTTAGCTCAAAGGATCCACAGAATAAAACAGTGTGGGAAAATGCTAAAAAAAAAATAGCAAAATGTACAACTTAATACAAAAATTGTTAATTTGGGGTACCTCTGTATATTTTGTATGGCCATAATGTTGGTGTGTTTTGTACCTTCAAAACCCATTCTGTATATTCCCTGAAAACAGATTATGTATTTTATTTTAATCTATTTGACAGAACACATCATTTCAAGAGTGAAGTTTTGGAGTGAATAGTGAATTTAGTGATGTAATGATAGACAAAAAGTTCACAGAACCAAGGAGGGGAAAAATCAGAAGGGGAAAAAACCTTCATTAGTTTGGTGCTTCTTGAAATGAGAGATCAGTAAATTTGTGGAGACAAGTTAATAGAGCACTAAAACAACAACTGCCATAGACAGCAGCAGCTCCTTGAGAGTTTTCTCTTCAGTCCCTGGAATTTAACCTCTGAGTTGCCAGGTCACCATTATGAACCAAAGGAATGAGTGGATTCTCTGAGCTTCCCAGGGGAAGAGGGTCTTCTCCAGGAATGGAGAGTAGGAAGTGCACTGGGATGGCCAGTGGGACCACCTAGCCTGACCAGATTACATCAACCATAGTCCTGCTCCCCCACTGACTCTTAATCTTTGTGCTAATAAAACAGGATAGGAAAACACCAAGATGGGCTGTTTCTCAGGATAGAGGGCTGGACACATCCAGTGTGGTACTACAAGAGAGTTGTCTGATGAGGCTGGAGAAGCTTCTTGGGAGATTGCATGTGGCTGTTCTGTGTACCTTCCCTGCTCCTGCCTTCTTTGCCCAGTGTGTGATTATTAGAAGAGAGTGTGTGTGAAAACTCATAGCTGTGGACAGTTTTTTTTAAATCCTAGATCACCTGTATTCCAGATAGGCATGCTGATCTCCTTACCCAAAGCCAACTCGCCAGGTTCATCCTGCCATCCTCATGGGAGACCAATGTTGTGAAGTGGAGCAGCAGTATTGAAATGTAATCAGTGACGGTAATACTTGCCAGAGGAGCCCTGTTTTTGCATCCCTCTCTGAGCAATCTCAGAAGTATTTGAGGGTGCTGGGTTTTCCATTAGGGAAACCAAATGAAGGTCTGCAGAGTAAGTGAAATGTAAAATCAGAAAAGCAATTTGAGTGGTATAAATAGATCATTTCATAGGGGTTAGGGTAGTTTTTTTTTCAGCTACTACTGGAGAATTTAATAAAAGCATTATTGTTTGAAAATTTTTCCTAATGTAGATTTAGGTTTTGATTTAGACACACTACTGTACATGTAAAAGCAGTTACTTATTTTGCTATCCAGATTAATTTTTTATTATATCTGAAAATGAAATTATCTGTTTTCCTTTTCAAAGCTTTGTAAAACAAACTTGAAGTTATAAGGAGGTAAGCCATCTCCAGTTCTGCAGGTCAAACAAAAGTTGGAGAAATACTTTTGGCATCCCATAAACAGAATGTCTTAACATAAGAACGTAGTTTCATACTGTCTGGTTCTGTTTACTAGTGGATACCACCAATCTCATGTCTTTCTCTGTTACTTTACACAGTGGAAAGGAGAAAGGGGCATTAGGTGATTTCTAAACCACAGTCTGCTCTGATTTTACCACTTTTTTTTTCCTTTTGAATCTTGGGAGACTTTTGTCTCCACTTACTAAAAGAATCATGACTCACTTCAAGTTACACATCAATCAGAAAGTTAATTGGTCTTTAAAGTTTCTCCCTTCAGCGAGCACTCATTAAACAGTGAGGTGCAGTGCTTGAAGATACAAAGAATGAGATCTGTGTGAGTGAGTGAAAGAGAAGGTACTGAAACTTGGGTTTTATTCCAGTTTCATATTTGGGTTTTATGTTCCCTTGGTCCAGGAATGGGGCCAGGCAGCTGCCATTACCT